TTACACGAAAGAAACTCGACACCATAATAAAAGTACGAAAATACAGGATTTTGTCAATATGAGCTATATTCTAACGACTTTTGTAAGCGCCAAGGGTCGGAAGACAAATCGTCCGAGACACGATCTTGGAATATTTCGGTTGTAATTATGTATAGAAATAAATATTTCATGGAACCAGCACATTATAGAAGCAGTGATTATTAAAAAACAATTACTCTATTGATTTTTGACTTATTAGTTTTGCAAAATAAAAACTGCTTGTAGGAAACAAAAAATTAAGTTCATATCAGTTTCGTGCAAGTATGTATGATTCCAAATAATTATATTGTCGACAGAACCGATGCATCCACAAAATTATAAATTTTTAAATGAATCTAGTTTCATAGAAACTTTCTTTATGAAATTCAAAAATCGATTTCAAAAAGAATTTGCGAGAGAACAAATAATTTTAAAAGAGCTTAGTAAAATTTAAAAGTAGAAGTAGTAAGGATATTAAAAAAACCAAATTTAATCATTACTTATTTCATAAATAGCGAAAATATCACATTAGTTTCATTATTTTTGCATCATTTTCATTCTATAATTTATGTTGTTTTTCGAAATTTCATACTATATCTGATTAATTTGATTCGATTTACAGTTATAACTTGAACATGCTGGTTTTAGAAAAAGAACGTTATGTATATCAAGACAGATTTCATTTCGTGTGCTATTTTTCTTATCCTAGATAGTTACAAATAATGCTTTATCAAGTTGCCACTTTATGTGAATTTAGGGTAGTTTGAATTTCAATAATTCATCACATAGGTCTTCGAAGAGCAACCGATTTAGACATTCAAGAAAGCCTAGGTAAACTATTCAACGTAAGTTTGTGGACGACTCAAATGATAGAAAACATAAATATTCCCTTGGTCATGTTTTTCAAGGTATAGTTCTCATATAAATTTGCATAATTCTATGACATACCTATCATGTATTTCTAATTAAATTTACAAAATTGAGAATTTCAACAACTATCCTTACATACCATTGAAAAACATCAAAAATAATAGCGCTGTCATGGTAGGAGATGTCTTTTTTCATATTCGTTACCATTTTTCCTGCTGAAAAAATAATTATGAAAATAACGTAAATTATGTCATTCTTTTATCTCATGAGATCATCGTCGAACGAAAACTAATTTTAGAAACCTCATTTTTCTTCATAGCCTAATGAATAAGGATTGTTTCAGTACAGTAGCTGAATATACTTGTTGCTGGTAACGGTGTAGTCAGTATCTCAAGAATTAGGTTCGTTTCTTGGAAGACGATTGCTTGTTTTTTTTTGTTAAATTTCTCATCAGAGTTTTTACTTTAAATATGATTTATTCACTGCCAAATAAATTTGATTATCTTTCTATTTTAGAATGAAGAGCTACATAAGGATTGAAAATAACACTAAACTGTTGGTTTTAATGAATAATTCTCATTAACATGACAGTATGTCGTATTTTATAAGTATTCAAGAACAGATATTATTTGAGCACCAATTTGAGCAAGGCCATTGACATCTATATTCAATAACTTCAATGTCAACAATTTTTTTTTTTTCTTGAAAAATATTTTGTGCTAAACGAAAAGTCTCAGAGAAAAACCTTATGTCGATAAAATCATCTAGTGATGAAGTTTCATTTCAGTTAACTGTTTGATTTCCGTTGGTACATAAGAAAAGATTAGAAAACGACATTTTTCATAAGATATCTAATATACTAGTAATTAATGTGTCAGACAGGCAGAACTTCGAAGATTTTTATTTCCTAAATTTCCTATGTAAATATCTTTTTAAATCACATCTCATTAAGACTTACACGTGTTTAGAATAATCATGATATTAACAATCATTTTGTGAGACATGCTACCCAACCGACCATCCGATAGGCATTTCGACCCCTCGATTTTCCACCGTCGATGTCTTCTAAGATACCCATCGCCGAGCCCTCGACCCATCGGAAAATGGCAAACCCAGGGGTCGATTTGAAATTCCGATGGGTAGACCTCGTGCCCCAGATAGCACCACGACACATATTACGAAAACTTCGATCCTATGCTTCTGCTAACTATCAAGTTACTCACCCTCTAGCCTTGGACCCATCGAAATTTCAAATCGACCCCTGGGTTTGCCATTTTCCGATGGGTCGAGGGCTCGGCGCACCCCTCGCACGTCTTTTTTAGCTCACTTGGGTAGCCATTTTAAGGTAAATCGACAAGATAACATTTATCTATTATTGTGTCATGACACAAAATTATTATACATACCTAGTTAAAATGAATTGTTAATCGGAAAAAAATAATTCCCTAGTGAGATTCAATAACAAATTCTTGCAAAAGTAGATAAGCTCGTATAATTTTATTTTTGTTCAAGTTATTTGCTTTTACCTATTGTTACCATTGAAGAAAACTTCTATACTTTAGAAAAGAAACCTTGAAATTTTTATGTCCATTGATGTCTTGTTTCATTCACTATTCGGTATTTTGATGTCAGTCATCTCTCACTTGACATCAACTTCATCGGAAAATAAACTAAATGAAGACTCACAACATAGTTATCTTGTCGTTCCTAGAAAAAAGAAAAATACCTCGATCAGTTTTATAAAATCATAAAGCTAATAAAACTCTTGCATTCGATGATCATCATGTACATCGATAAAAAAAAATTATTGGAATAACGTATAGTTACAACTGTTATGAACTGTGCAATGACTGTTAAGGATACAATTAAATTGAAATGATATTGATTAGTGTAATGAAGATATCTACCTACAGTTAAAATATAATCTAATATAAAAGTAACAGCTTCGTTATTTTCATTTCAAATGTCGCAATCAACTATCAGATGATAAATTATTTTAATAATTATCAACAGTAGAAAATAAAACGAAACAAAGATTTTCATCTATTGATTCCAATCAGATGGATAATATAAAAATTGCAGTTATTATTAAAAAGAATGCAATATAAATATTGGTTACTGGATGAGTTATATTGTAGACATGTGTCCGTATTAAGATATTTCGACAGATTTCTTGTTACCTTGTTTTAATCCTAGTTATTTTACCTGTCGTTTTTTTTGTGTTTAACATCAATATATCTACATATGTATGTGCACGAAGTGTGACCAATAGCGCATTACAATAAAGAAAAGATTCACTTTTCTTGAAGGTTTTTTCTCGTGAACGTTTACCAAACGGCATATATTATTCAAAGAAGCATATTGGTTTTACTAATTCTTCTTCATTCTCACTATTATCATCATTATTTTTAAATTCACTATGATAGAAGTTATTGGCATTGCTGCTATTTTTATTGGAGCTATAGTTACAGCAACGAGTGGATTAGCTATCATGACGTTTGTTTTTCCTCCAGTAGCTTCATCTTCACAAGATGAATATCAAATTAATGAAGAAGAATATAGAGCTCGTCTAAGATCAAATTATGAGTCTATATTTGCGTACACTGAATATGGTACTTTCCTATGAATTAGTATTCCAAGATCTTCAGTTGACACTTGACCTGCATTATTTTACTTTTCATGTAATATTAAACATATTCATTTTATCTTTTTTTTTATATTCATTACTCATTTAACTATTATGGATGTATCAATCAACGAAACTCAAGAGCAAATATAATGATATTCTTTCTTTTTCATTTATTCATAACTACATCTCAAGTTTTGTTTAAAACTGCATTTATAATTTTCTTTTAGTGAGATGTTCAGAACCATTTAACTATTTTATACGAAATTCTCATCACAGATCATGTTTTTTCCACAATGTAATCGTTTTAGTTGAAGCATATATGACAGTTTCATGTCAATCAACAAAAATGTACATGTTAGAGTTTAAATGACAAGAATCAAATTGAACGATTAAAAAATCACGAAAACCATCTCATCAATAAGATAAAATTTAATGTAATTCGTTGAAATTTTTATACTGAACAAAAACAATAGTGTACAAATGCATTTCACATAATTAACAATGCATAGACTAATATATGTCAGCGTCTAATCCAAGATTCGAGTTTCAACTAGTCCAAACTTTGATCGAGCAAAGATTCTTAAATCAAAAATAAATTTTCCATTGAGTTTCTGTTTATACATAAAAACTTATTTAGCCAAGTTCTCGATTTTGAACTGTGCATAAAAGTACAGACAATCAATTTGGTGAAGCTCCTGAGTAAAAAGTTTTAAATCCAACAACTAGTTCAAGAGTTTCGATCTCAACCTTTTGATCGATACAACTTTGAACTAGTTCAAACTCGGATCTTTCCTGAGCTGCTGATCTCTATTTGATCACAAATATATGCATGAGCCAGTCAGTCAGAAAGGTCAGCCATACTCTCAATAACCAAAACTTTTCAGCGAATTGTTTTTTTTTCGAGGCGTTTCTTTAGTATCAAGGTTAGAAAGTAGATGACACAAATTAATGTTTGGTAAATATAACTTCACTATTTTTATCCATATTGTTTTAAACAGTCTGATCTATTTTGAGAATATAACTATATACTCAATGCTAGTGTAAGTGATATTACGCGTGTTTTTTAAATATAAATATTATAGTAAAGAATTAATCATCAACTACAATATTTGTTGTTCTGTTTTGTTTCATCGTTCTTTAATCATGCATGATTGATCTTTTTCACTCTGTACAAAATACTATCAGAAAAAAAGAAAAGAAAAACCACATTACATTTCAATGAGATGAATAGAAGAAAAAAATGTATAAAATACACACGCAGACATACACTTGTTTGAGCAAAATAACACACCTGAAGAAAAAAAAGTGATCATGACTAGTGATAGATATATAAGGAGAGAATAAAAAGGCTAATAGAGCGGACAAATTAGTACCAAATTAATAAATATATCTTATGAGTTAGTTAGTTGAAGAAGATATTATTGATTTACAAGGTTTAAAAATAACTCGATAGAATTTAGTACCAAATAGTACATTGAAACGATTATCTTTTTTCAGCTTGACAATATTCTTTATCAGTAACTTGACCAAGTAATGGAGTTGTTGATGGATTAAATGTATTTATCAGTGATGGAATATTTGTTGAATTTTCCCCATTATCAGTAGATATTGCATCAATAACATTGGTATTATTTAGTTGTTGATTTGAATTTTGCTTTTTGTTGAATATTAAATAACTCATAACAATCTAAATATATAAAATAAAGTGTTAATAAATAAGTAAATATCAGATAATGTTGATATGTTGTATCAAAATAAATAATCACATGATCTGATGGATTGGCAGTAAAAATAGCAATTGGTGTTGCTTGTGATGAAGAATTTGTTGATAATGTTGATATACCAAATGTTGATGATACAATTGGTGATGAACTAACAACTGAAGATATTGGAACAGTTGTGTGTGCTAATAATGGATTTACTATTTGATTTGATGGAAATGCAGCGAATGGTGTATATAATTCTACAGCATTACTTGATTCATTTGGAGATGATTTAAGCCTTGTTTTCATTAATAGATTATTAACTGTTGGTTGTTCACTGCAACAAACCCAATAAAAGAAAATTGTTAAAGATGTTTTTTTCTTTTCAAATCAATACATAACAGACCTCTAGTTGCAATTGAAGCTTCTATTAT